GGTCGTATTGACTCTCACGGGAGCGTCAGGTTGGCAACATAAGAACCTCTGAGAGCAGTCTGGGGAAAATCTACATCTAGGGTCACATCCCTTTTGTCAGAGCAGACACATATCTGAATAGGTGTGCAGTAGCAGCGCCGTACACCCCCACGCAGGGTCGCACCGTGGTGCGCTCATCTCCTGACTAGCGAGGTGTAAGTTGTGTCTCAGCGATTTCCCGGCGGAACACGAACAACACGCGCCATCTCGTTAAACCTTTTCACATCCCAGACACTTTCACATCCCAGACACTTTCCTTGGACCAACCGGAGATCTCCGGATCCAGGCATTTTCCCATGGCCAGATATGCGTTTCTTCCACCCTACACAATCACAGGAACACACAAATACAAAAAAAAAAAATAAAAAAAAATAACAACACCATTTCACAACATCCTTAATGGTTACCGACATCTTACCACTTATACCAAACAACATCACATTACTACACTAATCAACGATGCAGAGATTGAACGCGATGTATACCGTTTAGTATATTTCTATTTAGGCCCTAAGTCCCATTTGAAAAAAACTTCCGCGGATTTCTGTTCGACCGGATTTCTGTTCGACCGGATTTCTGTTCGACCGGATTTCTGTTCGACCGGATTTCTGTTCGACCGGATTTCTGTTCGAACAAACTTGCGTCGATCAATTTTACGTCGGTCTAATGTCTTTTAAACAAATTTTCCTTTACGGTTATTGTAATAAAAAAAAGATATTAGTTTATTCCGGAGTAATGCTTTACAGAGGCGTACCTGGGGTTGGATGCAGGGAGGAGGGGGGGGACCACTGAGGAAGGCAGTGTTGGCAATAAAGAAGAAGAACATTATTAAAATGGTGGGCGTGTGTAAAAATGGGGTGGGGGGCGGGGCGCACATTTGGGAGGCAACCCCGTGCGGCATTTAATTACGTTACGCCACTGCTTAGAGCAGTATTTTACTATCTTTTTTTTTTTTTCGCGACCCGATATTTATCTTCTTTCGGTGCTCCGGTATTTTGCTTTCGTGTCGCGATACCGGTATTTGGGAAACGCTGGCTTAGATGTCACGGGTGTAACACGGGTAGTAGTGTATTAAGTAAGAGGCCACGGCCAAATGTCCTCCAGTCAATCAACATTAATCGGGATGGGTATCGATATTTGGTTAGTGTTGAGGACGGTGCCAATGTTGCTGGCTCTTACGTTCATTCGACAATCTTCAATACTTTGAAATTGATATATGCACAGATAAATATATTTTTGTTTAAAACTACGGCGATCCACTACTTCTCATTATTGCGCAGACATCTCCCAGACAGCGAGTTCGGAATAACGGTTTAAAAAAAAAAAAAGAGAAAAAAAATGTCAACACGATAACAATGTCACCATCACACGAGGCAATGACGTCAACGACAGGCAGGCATTATGTCAATTGTTAAAAGTGCTCTGGTCACGACCCGCCTCCTGTCACCCGCCTCCTATCATTTTCAACCTCTTTTTTTTCCCCCTTCCTTCATTTTGTGAGGATTTTTTTCTTTCGAGAAATTAAAATGGCCAGGGGCAGTGCTTCTTCTTGTTGTTGTTGTTTTTTTTTTTTTTAAACTGTCAAAGTTCTTTTGTTCCGATTTTTAAAAATTTTATTTTCTCGCATCCCCCCCCCCCCCGGTCTAACGCGTGATTGACACGTTGTGATGCAATGAGTGCAGAGTCATTGTGTGGCCATCACGTGTGGGTAGGGTTACGGTGAGGCAATCACACGTGGGAAAGGTTCTAGTGTGGCAATCATATGTGGCATGTGGGTCGGGTTATAGTGTTGCAATCACATGTGCCATGTGGGTAGGGTTACGGTGAGGCAATCACACGTGGGAAAGGTTCTAGTGTGGCAATCATATGTGGCATGTGGGTAGGGTTACGGTGAGGCAATCACACGTGGGAAAGGTTCTAGTGTGGCAATCGCATGTGGGAAAGGTTCTAGTGTGGCAATCACATGTGGGTAGGGTAATTGTGTGGCACTCACTTGTGAGTATTGTTATAGTGTGGCAATCACATGTGGGTAGGGTTAAAGTGCGGTAATCACATGGGGAAAGGGTTATAGTTTGGCAATCACATGTGGGTAGGATTATAGTGTGGCAATCACATGTGGGTAGGGTTATTGTGAGGCAATCACATGTGGGTACAGTCTTGTGGAGGCAATCACATGTGGGTACAGTCATGGTGTGGCAGTTCATAAGTGGTTGTCAATTATCAGCCATCAAACATTCAATACCACACGTGTTGTCATAATGAGTGTATCTTGTACCCAAGATCATTTATTCAGAACATATCTGCCAACATCTCCGTCTTTTTGCAATGGTGTTAATTTAAGTTGAGTGATCAACGCCCCCCACCCCCCTTCTTTTGGCAGTGTAGGCTGCATGACATGACTATAATTATTGGTACTTTAGTGGGATGTGTCTGAAACACATTATTGAACACAACGCATCAGTTGTTGTTTTTTTAAATAGTGTTTAGTTAAAAACTTCACACAAAGTAATTGACTTTTATTGTGTGTGCAAAGATGAGGTTTAACAAATCAGAAGAGAGATTATTTATCCTTAACAAGAAACGGGGACATTCTTGACTCCCTGATGATAAAGGGAATCTAGTGGGCGTAGTATACGAGGAAGAAAGAGCTGACCTTAATGGGCGTGTAGAGGAAGGAAGAGCTGACCTTAATGGGCGTGTAGAGGAAGGAAGAGCTGACCTTAATGGGCGTGTAGAGGAAGGAAGAGCTGACCTTAATGGGCGTGTAGAGGAAGGAAGAGCTGACCTTAATGGGCGTGTAGAGGAAGGAAGAGCTGACCTTAATGGGCGTGTAGAGGAAGGAAGAGCTGACCTTAATGGGCGTGTAGAGGAAGAAAGAGCTGACCTTAATGGGCGTGTAGAGGAAGAAAGAGCTGACCTTAATGGGCGTGTAGAGGAAGGAAGAGCTGACCTTAATGGGCGTGTAGAGGAAGGAAGAGCTGCCCTTAATGGGCGTGTGGAGGAAGAAAGAGCTGACCTTAATGGGCATGTAGAGGAAGAAAGAGCTGACCTTAATGGGCGTGTAGAGGAAGGAAGAGCTGACCATTATGGGTATATATGAGGAAGGAAGAGTTGACTTTAATGGGTGTATGTGACGAAAGAAGGAAGGGCTGACCATAATTTGCTATGTGACAAAATTAAATATGTAGAATGTCAAATTCTAGTCATTTTTATTGATTACAAGTAGGTCTATTGCTGTACCTCTGTGGGTCTATTGCTGGACCTTTGTGGGTCTATTTCATTTAATATAATTCTCTTTGTATCAAAGAAAGTATGGAGAAATGCGGAGTTCAGTGACGTAGTTAGGGCTACTGCCCACCGGAGTGGTCCAAGCCTTTAGCCACCAACTGTAATGCTGAGTTCAGTGACGTAGTTCGGGTTACTGCCCACCGGAGTGGTCCAAGCCTTTAGCCACCAACTGTAATGTTGAGTTCAGTGACGTAGTTCGGGTTACTGCCCACCGGAGTGGTCCAAGCCTTTAGCCACCAACTGTAATGCTGAGTTCAGTGACGTAGTTCGGGTTACTGCCCACCGGAGTGGTCCAAGCCTTTAGCCACCAACTGTAATGCTGAGTTCAGTGACGTAGTTAGGGTTACTGCCCACCGGAGTGGTCCAAGCCTTTAGCCACCAACTGTAATGCTGAGTTCAGTGAAGTAGTTCGGGTTACTGCCTACCGGAGTGGTCCAAGCCTTTAGCCACCAACTGTAATGCTGAGTTCAGTGACGTAGTTCGGGTCACTGCCCACCGGAGTGGTCCAAGCCTTTAGCCACCAACTTCCAAGACAACAACTCTTCAGTTGGCAAATAATGCCCCCCTCTCCAAATAGAGAAAAAAAGGGCCGCCCGGGGCGTACCATCCCCTTTGCAACCCCCCTTCCTACGCCACTAGGCGAGTTCAATAGTGGGCAAAATAAAAATCCCGATAACTGCGCTAAATGCGATTCTTAAAAAGACCGCACATAAGTTTGGTGCGCAATATTTTCTTTTGTTTTACGGAGACAGTCTCAATTTAAATATGGTGCAATATGTCTGAGGTGTAAAAGGGTAGGGGCATTAGAATATTAATATGGTTCAGGGGCGTGAAAAACGTGTGTGGTGGCATACCTGGGAGTGGGGTAAGCCCCAATTGGGATTCTCATAAAGTGCATAACTTGAATGTAGATGTGAAGTTCACGCATTGGCTCAGTAATTATTTGGCGTGTTATAACAATTATGAAATATATTATAGGTATTATGGGTATTTAAAAAAAATAAATATACTATAAGTTTTTTTGTGTGCAATAGGTAATAATGAAATTATAGGGGATGTAACTAGAAAAAAGAATTGAACTTCTTTTTTTTTATAAATTGCCTCCCCGAACGAATTAAAATTTTACTACCCCATATCAATTTTATACATTTATAGCTCAATCAAATTCTGCCGTTCTCATTAAAATTGTGGCTACATTTCAGTTTCTAGTTCGCACTTCTTTTGAAACACAAAATATTATTATTCATCACAAGTAAAAATTAAAAAAAACAAAACAATCATAAGACAACAATATCTTGTTTGTGAAAGCGTATAAAATATTATGCTTTCCATAACCAAACGGGTAAACCTGCAAGTAAACGGAATAAATGTTATTATATTACAAAATTGATTAGTCTGTTTGCCTTGTGATTTAAAAAAAACAACAACTTTGGGCAGGAGGAGAACAATAACAAAGTTACATCAGTCCGGTAGTTCAAATGTGAATCAGTACCCTGAAACTTTCATTAAAAGTGTAGACCGGTCACATGACTTGAGTCAGTAATAGTTAGAAGAGAAGGATTAGCTTCTTTAAAATTAAAAGTGTAGATATGAAATATTTCTCGACACGTTATGAATCATTTGTTTTGTTATGTATAATATTTACGCCCGTTTCTTATTTTTTAAAGTTTGCTAAACCCTCTCTTCCTGTCACGTGACAACAGGTAAAATTTAGAAGGAAAAAAAACCCACAAACGCGAAGGTAAACAAAACGAAAAGGTGAGTTTGATTTTGTGTGATTTCTTTGAAGTAATGCAAAGGAAAGCTGGTCATTTCATGGATATTATTTCACAAGAGAATTTCTGCAAGAAAAATGGCGGCTCTTGCAACAGCTTGCTCGTTTCCCATCAAGCCAACTCAACTGCTCTCCTAGCGTCTTTTAGCGGTTCTTGGAAGATTAGGAAGTGAAGTTGGGCACTTCCGTGTTTGTGAACCCATTCAAAATCTATCAATGAACTCAATGCCTTCGGTGAATTGAGGCTTTTTACAGCACTACGGTAGACTGACCAAAATCAGCATTCATGTTCAGTATTTGAAATAATATTTGCTCAAACTTTGAACTCTTGTAAACTGAATCTATTTTATTGAGTAAAAAAATAAATATAAAAAGAATAAAATATGCTACACTACAACACTGACAACACAGACAACTGCTACTACTAAGTACTACTTACTTTACTACTGACTACTGAACTGTGTTACAGCAGTAACTTGAGTGACAATGAAAACCAATAAAATAAAAAAATCTACCTAACCCTTACAACCTATACTGTATACTATATCTATGTATTTATAATAGATAAAGTCTTCATTCTAGTTTATTCTTTAATTCTTACTTTAGACTTTAGTCTTTTTTAGCATCTACAGTGAGTATAGTTGTATAGACCAGTGATGACAAAGCTTTTACTTGAACCCAAAACTCACTTATTTATCACTGCTGTTAAACCTGAATGTCCTGAGCACTTAATACTGAGTTTCTAGTTTAGAAAATAAACAACTCATATTTAGGGTAATGAGGGGAGAGACTGCAATCAGGTTATCACAATATAAAATGAGTAAAACAGAGTAGGGTTAAACCTGAAAAAAGAAACGTAACAAAACAACAAACGTGTCGGCAGAAAGCCTTCGTCAGTGAACCAAACAACAGAAAAAACGGTATAAAAGTAAAAATAAGAAATAGCCCTTAGCTTGGAAGTAGTATCCGTGGGCCGCAAAAGAAATGGGGCTGAAGGAAAGTGAGTGGGGGATTAAATAGGGAAGAGCGAAGGAAAAGAGGAGAAAACAGTCCACTGCGATAGGTCAGGATGAGGAGGGGCGGAGCTAGGGTCAAGGGACATAACATTCATCCCAGCTGGCGTCAAACATTAACTTACAAATTTTTGTTTTAAATGAAATAAAGATTTCATCCTTTTATCTCATTTGTCACCAAATACATGTCACTGTCACCAGCATTAGCATTGTGATAATCTTGAATGAGTCAAATGTCCTTGTCATGTTCCTCAAAGAGATTTCTTGCCACTTTATTGATGGAAGAAATACATTTAAATAAATGATGATAATCTTGCTGATAAATGGAAGACAATACAGAAGAATAAACTTGGTCAAAAATGTAATTACTTTGAAGGTATATCTTTTTGGAGGCTAGCAGGTATTTTTGGCAGGGATGCTAGGGTAGCTAACTCTATTTTTGATTAAGATGCTAAGGTGGGTAACTCTGTTTTTGACCAAGATGGTAGGGTGGCTAACTCTGTTTCTTCTGACCATCACAAAGCCTCAGGTAAAATAGCATCAAATTTGTTTCCGAAATTTTTGTTGACACACTTTCCTCCAGGGAATGAGAAGTGATCAAAGTATTTTCTACTTCCTGTATCCACCATATTTCAAGAATTAACAAATTTTCAAATGTTAAATACACAAATTGCTGAAGCTATTAGGAAAGGTGACTTTTAAAAAAAAAATCTTCATCCACAGAGAAGACAGGTTTCCTAAACACCAACAGCCATGCCTACAGCAACAACTGAGGCACTCAGTGCCAAGGGTGAGAATTTAGACTATTATGTAGAAGTATTTCAGACCATTATCTAGAAATATTTCAGACCATTATGTAGAAGTATTTCAGACCATTATGTAGAAGTATTTCAGACCATTACGTTGAAGTATTTCAGACTATTACGATGAAGTATTTCAGACCATTAGGTATTGTAGGATCATAAACTTTGTGATCTTATCATGTATTTATTATAAAGCCAAATGCATCTGTAACGTTCGAACCCGGGAAATTGTTTCTCCACTTAACATTATATTATATTTCAGTTTAATAAAATATTACTTGCTTTTTATGGTTTAGATTTTATTTATAAAAAGAATGTGTCAGTATTTGTGTTTTTAATTAAAAAATTTTGATATAAAAATGTTTCAATACCAAATTTTCTTTCCTTCCTACATACACTCAAGTAATTATAAGTATGCATGCATACAAAAGACTGCCGAATTTGAAAAAATTGGGACTAAATCATGAATAGTTTTGCTTTTACAGAAGCGATGGAGCTTCTGGCAGACCAGCTGGACGAGCTGTACGACATTGGAGGTCAGCCGTCAGAGATTGACTTTCTTAAATTCATCTTAACTGACGAGGCACTTTTTCATATAATTGATGTGAGAAATAAATCTTCTACATTAGTCATTGAGTTCTGAAAATACATTGGAATGAAAGGCTTTTAACAAAGCAAACACAGGGGTGGGTAACCGGGTATGCATTTAGTGTTCTGAGGTTTGCTATAAAAGTTTAAAAAATCAGTTTCGCTCTCCTTGTCTAGTCCATCTACTGACTTATCATTACTTGACTTGGCAGAAATGATATTATCAAACTTGACAGTAATTATATTATCAAATTGACTGGACAGTAAGTTATTGACTTAGGAGTAAGTATATTACCAAACTTGACTTGGCAGTTTGTATTTCAAATGCAAGCTCATATTCTGCCTGATCACTGCACCCAACAAGGGATGGTCATTAAGGCTCACATCTAAAATACTTATTGAATTCAAGAAGGTGTGGGGGGTGGGCAATTTTTGTCCTCTTAGATTTTAAACCCCCATATTTGATAAGGCCTGTCTCAGGGGCTTTGGTTTCTATCCTATTGTGGCAGAACTGGTTCAAGATTTAATTTTTAAGTAATTTTTATTAAATAACAGATGTATTGATCTTATTCTACAGAACTTATTTGTTTTATTTGGGTTTATTAACAGTGTTTTTATTAAGTGTTGTTCTATCTGGAAAGGTTAAAATATGTAACATGAAATTATTTTTAAAATTTAAGAAAATTAGATTGCCATAGTCTTTAAATTTCCTTTTACATACCTGTTATTGCATTTTTAAAAAAAAAATTACAGGGGAGCTAATCATTATAGGAGAACTATCAGTAAATAGAGTTATCTATATAGGAGAGCTATCAATGTAGGAGATCTATAGAATTATCTATATAGGAGAGCTATCAATGTAGGAGACCTATAGAGTTATCTATATAGGAGAGCTATCAATGTAGGAGACCTATAGAGTTATCTATATAGGAGAGCTATATATGTAGGAGACCTATAGAGTTATTTATATAGAAGAGCTATCTATGTAGGAGACCTATAGAGCTTGTTAAAATAGCTACAAATCAAATGTAAATATAAGTCATAGAAATATGAAAAAATATAATGACATGCAAATTTTAAAAATGTAATGACATGATAATGTCAAAATATCTAATGACATATAATGTCAAAATATCTAATGACATTATAATGTCAAAATATCTAATGACATATAATGTCAAAATATCTAATAACATGATAATGTCAAAATATCTAATGACAAGAAATGTCATTTCCCTCCGAAAGATTCACGAGGAGTTAGAGGTACTGATGCCACCGACAAAAGAGAGAGATGCCGTGACCGCTGCCAGGGATCTGCTGGAAGAACTTGCTGAAGCTAATGAGACGGATGATGACGCCATGGACCTTAGAGACATTCTTAGTAATCCACATTTTAGGGTAAGCTCCATCAACTTTATTCAGTTTCTTTTACATGTATTATTTTAGTTGTAAAACCATTATATTTAACTGTCTTGTGGTTGACAGCTGCTGCACAACCAATATTTTGAAAATCTTTGACCCTTGACTACTGAATTTTGTCAACTTTTAAATAATCACCACTGTCCAGTCCTGTAAGTTGACCACTCTCATGTTTTTTCCTGTGGCCAGGCGCTGCTCGTGGCACATGACGATATAACCAACAAAAACTTTGAGGGGGACATCGACAAATCCCAGGTGGTTACAAAAGGGCCGCAACTCTTGTCCCCTCTACCTCCAGTATTTAACAATATAAACGAGCAAGTTCGATTTGTCAACATCCGCAAGTCACAGACAGAACCGCTGGTGAGTCTTTGATTGATGTCTTCTGTACACATGTGTACATCTTGTACTTAATTTATAATCAAGACTTTGTGTTAGACTTTACGTCCTATCAATTTCCTGAGTTTTCATTACGTCCAAGAAAGTCTAAATTCAAGTTGATGTGAATTAACTTGGTTTTCATTCTAGGGTATTACAGTCAAATTAGATGAAAACAATGATTTATTGGTGGCAAGAATTTTACAAGGCAGCATTGTGGACAAACAGGGCAAGTCCACTTCTTTATTCATGAATAAGTCTTATTATCAATTAGATTGTCATAGGTATGCAAATTGCATTTCATCTTGTTTTAATTGTCTCTATCATCTTTGTGTTTTAATGATTTCAATCATCTTTGTGTTTTAATGATTTCAACCATCTTTGTGTTTTAATGATTTCAATCATCTTTGTGTTTTAATGATTTCAATCATCTTTGTGTTTTAATGATTTCAATCATCTTTGTGTTTTAATGATTTCAATCATCTTTGTGTTTTAATGATTTCAATCATCTTTGTGTTTTAATGATTTCAATCATCTTTGTGTTTTAAAGATTTCAACCATCTTTGTGTTTTAATGATTTCAATCATCTTTGTGTTTTAAAGATTTCAATCATCTTTGTGTTTTAATGATTTCAATCATCTTTGTGTTTTAATGATTTCAATCATCTTTGTGTTTTAATGAAAAGTTAGTAGAAACACAAAATTACTAAAGTTAGTAGAAACACAAAAAATGATTTCAATCATCTTTGTGTTTTAATGATTTCAATCATCTTTGTGTTTTAATGATTTCAATCATCTTTGTGTTTTAATGATTTCATTCATCTTTGTGTTTTAATGATTTCAATCATCTTTGAGCTTTAGTGCTAAGATTCTCAGTTTAGGACAGGAAGAATATCTCCCCCTGCAATGTTTAAATTTTTCATTGGTTTATTTAACACCAGACCAATCCAACTTATGAATTGAATTTTTTAACGAGATTTTAAATAGCAATGTGTTATTTTTGCCGCTAGATTGTTAACATTTAACATTGGTTGTTTTAAAATATTCTCCGGTGCTTAAAATAAATACTTTGTTTTTCCACGTCAGGTATGCTTCACGTTGGTGACATCATTAGAGAGGTCAACGGCGAGCCGGTGGCCACACCTGAGCAGATGATGGACGTCATCATAGATTCAGACCCCGACCTCACACTCAAGATTATTCCATCTTTCATTCACACAAACAAAGCCGAACCTGTGAGTTGACTTGGTATCTTTAGCCAAACCAAAACACTCTGTGACTTTCTACTCTGTGACTTTCTACGCTGTGACTTTCTACTCTGTCACTTTCTACTCTGTCACTTTCTACTCTGTCACTTTCTACTCTGTCACTTTCTACTCTGTCACTTTCTACTCTGTCACTTTCTACTCTGTCACTTTCTACTCTGTCACTTTCTACTCTGTCACTTTCTACTCTGTCACTTTTTACTCTGTCACTTTCTACTCGGTGACTTTCTACTCTGTCACTTTTTACTCTGTCACTTTCTACTCTGTCACTTTCTACTCTGTCACTTTTTACTCTGTCACTTTCTACTCGGTGACTTTCTACTCTGTCACTTTTTACTCTGTCACTTTCTACTCTGTCACTTTCTACTCTGTCACTTTTTACTCTGTCACTTTCTACTCCGTGACTTTCTAAATTTGCATTATATTTTGTGTTGCAAGAATGTAAAATCTTTGTGTCTAACATGAGAAAGACATATTTATTAAGACCTGCGGGGGACATACGACCCACTGAAATATTTATTAAATGCTAGACCTTCTGAGAAATGTTCCAATTTTGAATAATAATCTGTAAAAGTCCTTGTAAGCTAATAATCACACGATAGCAATAGTTATCACAGCATTCTTAAAATTATTCCTCTGCATGTGTTCGAACTTGTTTTCAATTTATTGAGTACTCATATCTAAACTTTGTACACTAGATTTCATCACACTGTATTCGTCTTAAATTCAGATCTTCATGAAAGCCCATTTTAGTTGGGACCCAATGAAGGACAGGCTACTCCCCTGTAAGGAGGCTGGACTGCCGTTTAATGATGGTGACATCTTGGAGATTGTCAGCACAGACGACACCAATTGGTGGCAGGTGAGTGCTGACACAGATAGAGAAATAGGAAGAAGAGAAAAATGTGTTTAAAAAAACCATAAAAATGCGTGTATAAAACATCAGAATGTGTGTATAAAACATCAGAATGTGTGTATAAAACATCAGAATGTGTGTATAAAACATCAGAATGTGTGTATAAAACATCAGAATGTGTGTATAAAACATCAGAATGTGTGTATAAAACATCAGAATGTGTGTATAAAACATCAGAATGTGTGTATAAAACATCAGAATGTGTGTATAAAACATCAGAATGTGTGTATAAAACATCAGAATGTGTGTATAAAACATCAGAATGTGTGTATAAAACATCAGAATGTGTGTATAAAACATCAGAATGTGTGTATAAAACATCAGAATGTGTGTATAAAACATCAGAATGTGTGTATAAAACATCAGAAGAGGTGTATAAAACATCAGAATGTGTGTATAAAACATCAGAAGAGGTGTATAAAACATCAGAATGTGTGTATAAAACATCAGAAGAGGTGTATAAAACATCAGAATGTGTGTATAAAACATCAGAATGTGTGTATAAAACATCAGAATGTGTGTATAAAACAATCAGAATAAAAGATCAATTATCTGGATCTCCACTAAAAATGTGTATGTGTTTGCTTTTCTGTTCCAGGCTCGTCTTGCAGAAATAAACGGTCCTGTTGGTTTGATACCCTCACAAGCTCTTGAAGAGAAACGGAAATCCTTTGTCAATCCCGATCTGGATTACTCCAAGAGTAGTTTATGTAAGTCATGAGTAACTTTAAAAACTTAAGGTAGTGTACGTTTGGTAACGGTTATCAGGTTGTGTACATTGTTAAACTGTAAATGTGTAAATTTTACTTGTAACTTGTCACCTCCATTATCTAGCAAATAAACTGTCCATATTTTAATCAACAGTTTGTGGACTTACAAAGAAGAAGAAAAAGACAATCAAATACAGCTCTAAAGATAACAAAGGTTGGTTTGTGTTTAACAAAAATCATGTTCTTTCATTTGCCCCTTTGTTTAGGGCAGTGGGTCTCAAAGGCTTGTGTGTGATGAATTCATGTATTTCAAAATTTTTTTTTTTATTGTGTTTCAATTTTCTTTAATATGTAATAATTTGCTGCATTATATTTGTTTCATTTGATTTAGATTGATTATAATCTCAACTTTTAATATTCCAGAATATGACAAGGCTGATGTCATGGTCTATGAAGAGGTCCGTCGCATGGCTCCATTTGAGCGGCCATTTTTAGTCTTAGTGGGTGCCAAAGGCGTTGGACGTAGGTCATTAAAAGAAAGGCTGATCAAAGACGACCCAAGAAGATTTGGAACTCCCATTGCTCGTAAGATCAAAGCTCTTTCAATATATATGAACATGAAACATTATCGGCTATAATTTAACAACTTGGCATTTTGTGTCATTTGGTTGTCATCTACTTTCATTCTTTCTTTATTTTCTCAATTTTTAAAAAATTTTCTCCTTATCTTGAAATAGTTTATCTAACTATTCTTTATTAACTTTTTTGTTCTTAATGAGCAACTTTTCCTGCATCCTTTATTAGTATTTTACATATTGTTACATTTTAGACACATCAAGAGCCCCCAGAGAGAAAGAAATCGATGGTCAGGGGTACTTCTTCACAGACAGAGAATCCATGGAGCGTGATATCCTTGACAACAAGTACGTTGAGCATGGAGAGTTCAACTTTAACCTTTACGGCACCAGGATCGACTCCTGCTGGGATGTGGTCAAATCTGGAAAGATGTGTGTCTTGGACGTCAGCCCCGCTGTAAGTTGATCAGCTGTCTTCATAGGTGCTTCATATTAGCTTTCTTCATATCAGCTGTCTTCATAGGTGCTTCATATGAGGGGTCATCCATAAAAGACGTCCACACAAAAGGGGGGAAGGGGGGTTCAGCAAAAAGTGGACTAAAGTGGACAAAGGGGGGGAGGGGGTTTAGGACAAATTGGATGTCCACATTGTAGTGTTTTTTGAGTGCAGCAATTTTGCATAAATTTACTGAAAATTTACTGCCCGATCACAGTTACAGTAGCATGCCTTTTTATCTCTATTGTCCATCGGTGGCTGGGAGAATTTCCAAGAGAATATGTTTCTGCGGTAAATATTTCCCATCACAGGCGGCAATGAAAAAACATAAGGTCGTCCATTGCAATATTCCTGCTAGTGAACATAATATGGCAGACGAATCAGACGAAGAGACTGCCACTCAAATTGAATTAGCAATTGAAGACTCAAGAACAGATGTTGTCATTATACGAAACATGTTTGAATGGCTGCAGTCCGAATTTTCCGTTGATTGAAGAATGGTGGATTATTTGTTTATTACATTTTTTAATACAGTGATTCAATAAAATGTTTTTGAACAGTTATTATTTCATTTAGAATTTTGCCTGCAAATAATTGGAATTTCTAAAAAAAATCTTTGTAAATACATACTCTTTATATTGTTGTACATTTTCCCAAAATATTCATTAATTTAAGTTCGGTTGGGGGGGGGGGGGGGGGTGAAGGGTGAAGGGGGGGGGGGGGGGGGGGGGGGGTAAAAAATAGCAAAAAATTGGTGGACGTCTTTTATGGATGGCCCCTTAGCTGTCTTCACGTCTGTTTTTATTGTTGTTTGTTCGCTGATGAAGGCTTCTAGCCTACTCAATAGTTGTTTTGTTGTGTTCGTTTCCTTCATAGGTGCTTCATATTAGCTGCCTTCATAACAGCTCAGCAGGGACCAGAGACTTTGTACCACACATGGCATCTGTGTTTTCAATATTGACTGGCAACTTTCATTAGTTTAATATCAACTGGCAACTTTTATTATTTTAATTGTTCAATTTCAATTGTTTTTGTGTTTTGAATAGTTGAGATCCATTAAATTTATTATGCTTTTGGTTGGAACCAGTGACCTGTGTTACCACTAAATTATCTGCTATTGTGCTTATATAAAGATAGATTTATACAAGTCCATATATCTCAATGGAAAATGTTATTGTTTGATGTTTGTCTTCCTCAGGCTTTGAAATTGTTAAAAAATCAGGAGTTCATGCCGTACATTGTGTTCATAGCTTCCCCTAGCGTGGCTGCTCTCAAGGTCATGTATGAGGAGGGGCGGCACATGGCCAGGGGTGGGAAGGTGAGTGGACTTTTTTTACGCTTGGATTTTGTCAGACATCTTAAGTGGTGACTCACGGGAAGGTTCATGTGGTGGGAGTCTGCAAAAGTTAAGTGTCAGAATACAGTAATGGTTTAAATCTGACGTTTTACTTTTCTTACCCTGATTGAAATATTTAAACACATTTGAAGGAAAAAAAATGGGGGGGTGGGGGGGGTGTGTGGTGCTGAAAAAAGGATATATTAGTTGAAGTTCCATAAATTGTTCCACCTGTAAATTTTGTAGCACTTAAAGACTCCAGCACCAAATACTTTGAATAATAACTTTGTAACAACTGTCTGATTGATTTAACTGAACTAGTTTGAATCCAGTAACAGGATCATCACCTACCTTGGTTCATTCAGCTGCATAAGACTAGTGGGTAAATAAGGAAATGAAAACGCACTGAGGCTTACTGGGGACTGTTCATTGTGGAGACTTTCAAGCTGACTGGTGACTGTTCATTGTGTAGACTTTTGTGAGAGTTTTAATGTAATTGTGAAGCACAGAAAAACAGAATGCCCTACTGGGAAAAGTAACACTTCTTATAAAATGAGTAAAAACGAGCAATATCTTTTTTTACTTCCCTCATCAACATTTTCATGCGTTCTTGAACGCAATGAAATAAATTTAAGTCATAAATAGAGATACCAGGTATCTCAACTTGACACACAAAGGTTTGAACTAATCTTCCCTGAAGATGTCAGAATGGACTTAAGTAATGTTCCAACTGGGGCCTTGCAGTTAGCTTTATTTATCTCAGACATTGGATAGTAGAAATGGCTTAAATTCGATACATTTGCCTTTATAGCTGTTAGGTTTTTGGATTGTAGACTTTGGCCAATAGAATTATTATAAAAAATAAGAGTTGCGGATTTTGCTACTAATCATTGACATTCTTGCAGATTCATTTCTATAGTAATGCAATAGAAAATTGAAACCAATAGTCTCCCCTTGATTTTATGCATAAATTAGAAAAGTGCTGCATCAAGATGTCGATGTCTGATTAATTAAATTATGAATGACATACAAATATTTTTTCTTAATAACATATGTCAGCTAAAAATTATTGTATGCCCTCATTTGCCAAGATGCTCTTCTTGGCGGAGCAAATGTCTTCTCAATGGGAATGGTCAAGGTCATTTTCAGTGGAGCCAGACTGAAAACTAGTAAAGGAGTTTTGGTGGCCCTCTCATAACACACTGTTTTTTTTATGGATATATATGTTTTGTGGATATATTTGTTTTATGGTTATATTTTTGTGTGGATATATTTGTTTGTTTTATGGATATATTTTCTTGTTTAAAAAATAAAATATAATTTATTCTCTTGTTTTCTAGGGCGGTGTATCTGTGGTGGAAATAAAAAGTGTAAGTACAAATCATTTAAGATCTTTGTCACTTGTGAATGTAATAGAATTATTCTGCACATCTAAAGCTCTCAGATGAACTCCAATATTTATCTTAACATAGAAAATAAATTTTTCTTTCCAAATTATAAAGGCTACAAAGTAGAATTAATTTCTCTCAATACATTGTTTACTTCTATTGTGTTTGGGATCTCCCTTCTGACCTTAATTACTGTGCGTCCCACCAGGAGGAAAACTTTATCACCACCATGAAGGAGAGTGCTGAAATAGAAAAGAAATTCAACGGCTACTTTGATGAGATCATCGTCAATGACAACTTTGAAGAAACGTACCGTCTGCTCAGGAAATCCCTCAACGAGATGACCACCAAGCAGCAGTGGGTCCCCGTCAATTGGGTTCACTAAATAATTGTTCACCATCAATTTTAAATCTGATAGTACACAAAAACTATTCTCTAGAAGGTTTTTTTTTTTTGAATAGCTATCGAAAGTAAGAACAAAAAAATATCCTAATATGCAATGACCATTTCATCAAGAAAACAATTGTATGCTTCTTTGTCAGATTACTGAAAAAAGAAAGGACTTACATAGATAAGCACATATAATTTACATTTGATTTCAATGTGGATATGAGTACATTTTTCAAAGTATCAATTGACAAAAAGTTTTGAGAAATTTTGTTGTTGTTGAGTTAGCTAAAAATAAGTTCTATGATGCAACAATGTCAGAGTGATGTGTTTACATGACGGTATGACATGTTAACATGACAGTGTGATGTGTTTACGTGACGGTATGACATGTTAACATGACAGTGTGATGTGTTTAAATGACAGAATGACAGAATATTTACAGAATAATTGTCAAATGATGATAAATTAGGATGTGATTATCATCATACACTGATGATCCAAAGCAGGGGTTATCAACGTGTGGTTCTCCACTCGTGCGTGGTAAAGCACGTAAGACACAAGAAACACCGCTACTCGTCTACTACATCCTGGTCTTTTTCCAGTCGTCTTGACCAAGTCTTGCCATTGGATCAAAAAGAAAAGGACGAGAGAGTGAGGCTGACGTATTGAGCACCTCTACCTCACTTTAAACATAATACAGCTCAAGTCAAGGCTACTACTCAAGTCGAAAATTGCTTTGGTCATCTTTGCGTGCGAAAGACGAACTATAAAGCTATTGATAGTCCACCTGTGAATGTAAATGTGTACGATGATAATGCTGTTTATTTTTACCAATAACCTCCAGCACTGAGTTTGTTGTGCAAACACTTACCATTATAAAACAGTGCATTTACCATTATCCTAGATCTAGAATATTCCAATGTTGTTACGGTGTTGAACTATGTTGTTCTATCCCTGACTAAAGTCTGGGGCTGGATAGTTCTTTGACAGTTATTTTTAATTAGAAACAATCTTTTAAAACAAATATTTCCCCCCAGAATTGTATGTTGAAAAGTGATCTTTTTTGTTTGAAAGCAATATTTCTATGCATGAATATTATAAAAATGTTTTTTTTAAAAAAAATATACAAAACATCACAGTTGTCGAAAACATTCCAATCTACCGCTTGCCTTTTTTGACATTTAGTTCATTTGAACTTTTTAATCGGTTGCCTTTTTGGTTTTTGTCTTTTGGATGTTTTTTGGTTTGTTTTGTTGTTTTTTGTGTCGGTTTCATCCACACAAATATTTCACTGACAGTTTTGACAGACTTGAACAAAATGCTTGGTAAATTTTAGGGTTAATTATTAAGCCATAAAAACAATCAGAGCTAATGTTCATGTCATCAAATGTTAGTGTTTTCATTCGAGATGAACATGTGAAAAAAAGTTACTTAACATTTCATTTAATGAAATTTCTCATGTTGGTGTTTGTAAACAAAATTTAAATGTATCAAGTCTTTTAATTACTAAAATTTGAAATTATTTTCTAATTTGAAATCGGGGAAAAAAATGGAAACTTGCTCAAACTTGAAATGTGCACCTAAATAACATTTTTAAATTGCATTTGGTTTAAGATAAATCGTACTCAGGTGTTGAGTAAATATTTGTGTAACTTAAGACACCCACGTCGTCGGCGGCCTTATAGTTATGGAATTTTATTTTATTTTGTTTTTATAACGAATCGTCACTTGTAACTTGTAAATAACATAAAAATTGTATTTTGCCCTTATTTAGTTTCCAAATAAACTATTTATAAAGTCTTACAACAAATTCTTGCCACATATTCTTGATATGAAAGTATTGTTTTGAGTCTGCTGTGAATTTCACTATTCATATAGTTGAGATTTATATCACTGTGTAAATATTTTTATGGATTTTTACTGATTCGTTTCTCACATAAGGTTTTTTTTCTATGGTTATGTCATTTAAACAAAAAAAATTTCTAATTGAAATTTAATCTGGTTAATGGTAGACCTACCTGGCAAATAATAGTCGCTTTATGTGACCATATTTCATCTTGACATTGCCATAAGGCATTGAATATCCTTAATTAAAATTTTGTGTGGACTAATTTTAACTAAAGCAAGTCAATATTATCAGACTATCAGATCAAACACAAGAAAAATAAAAAAGCTGCACTTGGTAACAAAAGTTTATCATGAAGAAACCAGAGGAGGTCTTAGTGCAAAAATGTCCCCACTAGAATTTATGTGAACATATCCATCTGTTACTGAAACATGACCTTTATCGCAAATATGGATTGACTCTTGTGAGATTATGGCAATATGATCCAATGTAAGAGTAAATTAAATCTAGGTATAAAAATGTATGTTGTTAATTGTGTTGATTTGTGATATACTGATTATAATCCTGAGACCCTGGACTAGTAAAATGAGGCAACATGTCCAGTTAGCATGTCCAGTATTATTATGTGTGGCAACTTGTCCAGTCTTGTGTGAGGCAACATGTCCAGTGTTGTGGGGGGGGCAACATGTCCAACCTTATGTGAGGCAACATGTCCAGTCATGTGTGGGGCAACAAGCCCTGTATTGTGTGGGGCAACATGTCCAATACTTTGTGGGGCAACATGTCCAGCCTTGTGTGAGGCAACATGTCCAGTCATGTGTGGGGCAACATGTCCAGTCATGTGTGGGGTGACAAGTCCAGTATTGTGTGGGGCAACATGTCCAGTCATGTGTGGGGTGACAAGTCCAGTATTGTGTGGGGCAACATGTCCAGTCTTGTGTGAGGTAACGTGTCCAGACTTGTGTGAGGCAACATTATCAGTCTTGTGTGAGACAACATGTCCAATACTGTGTGGGGCAACATGTCCAGCCTTATGTGGGGCAACATGTCCAGTCATGTGTGGGGTGACAAGTCCAGTATTGTGTGGGGCAACATGTCCGGTCTTATGTGAGGCAACATGTCCAGTATTGTGTGGGCAACATGTCAAGTCTGTGTGAGGCAACATGTCCAGTCTTGTGTGGGGCGAGAAGTCCAGTATTGTGTGGGAAAACATGTCCAGTCATGTGTGTGGAAACATGTCCAGTATTGTGTGGGAAAACAGTCTAGTCTTGTGTGGGGCAACACCCAGTCTTGTGTGAGGCAACATGTCTAGTGTATGAGGTAACATGTCAAGTATTGTGTGAGACACCTGTCAAGATAACATCAAACGGAAGCACACCTGTCAAGGTTTCACCAGACGGGAGCACACCTGTCAAGATTTCACCAGACGGGAGCACACCTGTCAAGGTTTCACCAGACCGGAGCACACCTGTCAAGGCTACACCAGACGGGAGAACACCTGTCAAGTTAAGGAGAGCACGAGATTTTGGGTCAAAGCTTTTGAATCGTGAGTGAGTTGTAGGATTTCTGTCTCAATGTGATTGGTCGAAAGGGCGATCAAAACAAACAAGTGTGTGACATAGTGAGCTGCCGTTAGTGTTAGTGCCCCTAGTGTGTTGACAGTGAAGCAGTCCCACAGGATTCCGTAGTGTTATAGAGAGCGTGCTGGAGATGTCGTGCAGAATATATTAGTTTCTCAGGATCGTCAATATGCAGTGACTCAAATGGGACAATGTAGCCAGTAGTAGGGCTAGTCAGTGTCCAGTGGTTCATATAGGACAATGTAGCCAGTAGTAAGGCTAGTCTGTGTCCAGTGGTTCATGTGGGACAATGTTGCCAGTAGTAGGGCTAGTCAGTGTCCAGTGGTTCATATAGGACAATGTAGCCAGTGTTCATCAGAGCCAGTAGTAGGGTTGGTTTCAGTGTTGTCAACCCCTTGACAAATGGACCAGAAGAAGTATTTAAGGGGGGTCTGTCTAGGACCCCCCCCCCCATCCCCCCTGACAGGAGACATTCCATCAAGGCTGTTGCTCGCAGGATAACAAAGGGAGGTAATGTACTACTGATTTTTAAAGTCTTCAGTTAAAAACAAGTTGTAGCCCTTGCTACAAGTACTGCTTGAATTATACAAGTTGTAGCCGTTGCTACAAGTACTGCTTGAATTATTTATTTTATAAAAAAATAAAAAATAGAAGACCCTTTCCAATAAATGTATGACTTAGGAGCCATCCATGGACTTAGGAGCCATCCATGGACTTAGGAGCCATCCATGGACTTAGGAGCCATCCATGGACTTAGGAGCCATCCATGGAGAATCCTCGGTAGGTACCTGAATCCTCGGTTCCATGGGCTTAAGTGCCTTTCACTGAATTAGGGGGGGAGCCATCTATACATGAATCCGCACTATTTAATCAGGAGTCCCCCCAGCCCCCCCCCCCTCCCCAATAAATAAAAAAATTATCAATATTTATGTACAAATTATATCGTATATATTGCAAATATCATATGCCATTTATTGATGAAACGGGGAAGAAAGAGGTAGCCATTTTCAGGCTTAGCCCCGGCAGTAGCTTTTCCTCGGAACCAATGAAAATGCAAATGGTGTTCATTAAAATGACCATTAAATGAATGGCGATTGAAATTACCAAAGAAGTGACCATTGAAATGACCAACGAAATGAACATTGAATCACAATAAGTTATCTATTTAAATGACCCGAGAAATGACCATTGAAATGACCCAAAAATACCATTGAAATGGCCATTGAAATGACCAAAGAAATGACCATAGCAATGACCATTGAAATGACCAAAGAAATGACCATTGATATGACCCAAGAAATAACCATTGAAATGACTAAAGGAATCGACATGGTGCAGTCACTTTTTGATAATAATTATTTTTTTTATTTCGACGACTCTCTGAAAAGCCAAGCATGACGTGTCAGGACATCTGACCTGATCTTAAAGTAACCTAACTAGGCTTGTGGGTGACCTAACGAATGCTCCAGTGTACCCAACACGATATCCTACTGACAGCCACATCCAAATGGCTCTAAAAGTTCTGCTGGGGGCCCCCAAACAGAAAAAAAAAAAATTATTAATAATCTTAGGTACTTAACAAGCAATCTGAGGACTTGATAGGATCTTCAGGCCTTATCAACCTAGTATTACTTCTACTGTACGTGACAGGACCTGTAAGGCCTAAGTTACCTAACTAGGAGTCCAAGGTGCCCAGCAAGTCATCCAATGGGCCTCTGAGATGCGTAAAAAGGACACCAAGGTACTTAGTAAAGACTTCTTCACCAATCATCTATTGTGACTGACAAGATACAGAGACACCGCAAAGTTTCAAAGGAACCTAACAAAACCTCCCAGGGACAAAGCTTAACAAAGACATGACTTAATAGAGGAATCGTATAGATCGGCGTATGTACATTGTTGATGGTTCCACCGCTGCGACCAAGGAGAAGGTCGATCAGGGGCGTGTTGCTAAATTTAGCTCTGAGGAGTTCACGCTATCAAGCAGTTCATTACAACCTGACGGAGAATCTGTTTTATGCCCCCCCCACCCCCAATCCCCCCCCCCCCTCACCATCTTATTGTCTGCCAGACTTTCCTGGTACGTCCCGGGCCCTAATCAAGACGGTCTCGAGCCCGTCCTGTCGCGGCTTTTATCAGCCTCGCTCTGGTAGTGGCGGGACTGTGGCAGCCATTAGTGAGCTCCAAGTAGTGGCGTGATGGCACGGAGATAACGGCAAGGGTCTTCACACCTGGGCCAGGCCTGGGAGGGGATGGCTGTAGGTAGGGGGGGGGAGGGTCGGGTTGATAATGATGAGACGCTTACCGTCATCTGGGTTAATTACGAACGCTGGGATGTTTGTGTGTGTGTTATCAAGGGTTGTATCCCATAGGTCTTTCCGAGAATCCAGATTCTGCCAGTGGCTTATTTTACTGCACTGATTCTTTACAAGTACTTTGTGAGGTTCTTCAGTTAATGGAGTTTCACATTTAGTTATTCTTATACTCTTACTTTATGACGCTATGGGTATGATGAAATCAGGGGCTTTGTTTGTGTTTGTATATCCAAGGGAGAGCCAACATTTTTGCTGCCAGCCTTTCACACGCGCAAAAAAAAAAAAAAAAAAAAAAACTTAAACAAACCAAAAACCCCCCCCCCCTTACCATCGTTTTACCATTGTTGTACCATCGTTTTACCATTGTTGTACCATCGTTTTACCATTGTTGTACCATCGTTTTACCATTGTTGTACCATCGTTTTACCATTGTTGTACCATCGTTTTACCATTGTTGTGCCATCGTTTTACCATTGTTGTGCCATCGTTTTACCATTGTTGTGCCATCGTTTTACCATTGTTGTACCATCGTTTTACCATTGTTGTACCATCGTTTTACCATTGTTGTACCATCGTTTTACCATTGTTGTACCATCGTTTTACCATTGTTGTACCATCGTTTTACCATTGTTGTGCCATCGTTTTACCATTGTTGTGCCATCGTTTTACCATTGTTGTGCCATCGTTTTACCATTGTTGTACCATCGTTTTACCATTGTTGTACCATCGTTTTACCATTGTTGTACCATCGTTTTACCATTGTTGTACCATCGTTTTACCATTGTTGTACCATCGTTTTACCATTGTTGTACCATCGTTTTACCATTGTTGTACCATCGTTTTACCATAGTTGTACCATCGTTTACCATTGTTGTACCATCGTTTTACCATTGTTGTACCATCGTTTTACCATTGTTGTACCATCGTTTTACCATTGTTGTACCACCGTTTTACCATCGTTGTACCATCGTTTTACCATTATTGTACCATCGTTTTACCATCGTTGTTCCATCGTTTTACCATTGTTGTACCATCGTTTTACCATTGTTGTACCACCGTTTTACCATTGTTGTACCATCGTTGTACCATTGTTGTACCATCATTGTAC